CCCCCCAGCCCCAGGCTTTCCTTTTGCAAACCTTCAGGGGTTAAGTACTATAGTTGCCCCTGTTCCAAGGAGCTATTATTTGGACACAACGATCATGCATATTTTGGTCTTTTCTTATTGTTGTTTGGATGAATTGTCATGTGGCATGAAGCTTGTTGTGGTTGGATCCATCCCTAAACAAACAGCTGAACTTAAAAAATACTATTTTTTCCTGGTGCTTAAAAAAATAGAAAAAAAAATAGTAATCATTGGACTAAAAGAGACTCTCTCAGTGGCAGTCAGTCACTGTTCCCTCTGAAAATAGAAACAGATGCGAATTTCTCCAAAGCTGACCCATCTTTATAAACAGGAAGTTTAGAAAGACAGGTAAATCTATCCACCCTTAGTAAGGGAGCCTATCTAAGAGTCTGTGTTCAAATTCTTTGCTTCCTCCTTGAATCCTAAACCAAATCCATCGCCTATTACTTAAAACTCTCACCTCCACATTTGCAGAGTTGTTGTTTTGTTTTTTCTCAATGGGCTGTAGACTTGGTAATCCCCCAAATAGCTTCTCAGACTAGTTATATTTAGTTCACATTAGTGTTTGTTCTGAAAAGTGGAATCAGAGATTCCACAAAATAATATCGAAACTTGGTAAAGGGCCAAACACGATTTTGTTGCCAGAATCGTATACTGAAAGCCCAGTCTGATATAACAACATGGTGCTATAGAAAGAGCACTGCACTGTGAGTTCAAGACACAACAGTCTAGTCCTGTCTCTACTGAAAATTTCTCTGAAGGCTTCCATAAGTCATGGCAACATATGAACCTCAGCTTCCCTCATGCAAAATGAAATTATTGCTTTCAGCTCCAAGGTCATCATCATCATCATCAACCAGTTATTGATCATCTATTATGATCAAACCATCTGAGCATCATACTAAACAGTCAATCATTCAACCATTATTCAGAAGAGGAAACCAAGGTTCACAAATTCTGAGTGATATGCCCAAAGTCAAATCAATAGTAAATGGAACCTCTGCTAAACAAAGTCAGGTCTACACCTCACTGCCTCAAAGACTGTGAGCCTCACAGGTAAAGCACACCTTTCTTGATCAGGAGAATCTTCAAGATCTCCCCATCTCTAAAGGATAATGTTCAAATTCCTTAACGTAGCATTGCAGTCCTTCCTCGTCTGGCTTCAGATCAGCTTTTCAGTGTCTTAGCTCCAGGATCCATTGAACTCTCTGAACTGTGACCCTGCAGACATATACACACACTGATCAAGATGCAGTTATATTCTTCCCGGAACATGGGCAAGTTCTTTTGATCCTCCAAGATGCTGCCCCCAAAGCATCTTCTCAGGAAGCCATCCCCCATTTTTCCAAGTAGTGTTGATCCCCCTGCAGAAAAGAGTCCTGTTGGATTCATTAGTGTATCCCCAGTGCCAGTGCAGTCACAGAGCAGATACTTAGAAACTACTGGTGAAGTGAATTAATAGTTTTTACCAATTCTCATCTGAAGATTAGGACCTATCTTAGCTGAGGATGATAACATCCCTTCCTCCTAAAATCTCTTAAGATTGGGCACTTTATTACTTTGCCTTTAAAACCTGTATATTTTCTCATCTCTTGTTTGTTATGGTAGTTGATCATCCCAGCTCTATATTAAGGCGGTCTAAAAGGGAATCTTGTCTTCAGTTTATATATTGGGAAACTAAGGAACAGAGAGATGAACTAAACCTGCTAATATTACCTGATAACCATGGGCAGATCAGGAGGGTAAATACAGGGTTTCAAAATTCAAGAATGAGAATTTTTAACAATGGCTTGAACGCCATTGTTTGCTTATACATCAAAGTAATCTCATATATCTCATATAATTTCCCTGAAGCGTGGCTTTCTGAGTTTTCAGATAGGGGTGATGATCTCTATCTCAGTGTCCTTTGGACATGCCTCGGGAATGCAGAGGCATGCATTTCAGTTCTGTGGTGCAGGCCCACGGAAATTGAAGATTACATAAAGCTAAGCAGCATCGGTTGTGTCTGTCCACTTACAGATTCCATTGGGCTCAGGCTCTTGGAGCTGAGATCATTGCTTCCAAAAGGAAAAGAAAGTGTCTTTCAAGTAAAAGCTCAACCATGGAAGATAGACTCAGCAGTGCCCCCCCCCCCTCCCCAGCCACAGTAAGACTCTTCACTGGATAGAGCAGATTTTTAAACCTGTCACCACATGAAAGGAACTCAATCTGAATTGTGGAGTTCCCTCAATGTCAGCAGAGGTTCCCTCATGTCAAGAGAGGAAGGGCTGGGAATCAGCCTGTCCCTGCAATTCCCCTGTAAGCCAGTTGCCACTGGTGTCTCAGTAACTTTCCCTCCCCCCTAACACCCAGTGTAAAAAAATGTTTTTTTCAAAGAGCACAGCATTTAATCTATATTTGGACAAGAGTATATGCATCAGAGGTACCAAATTTTAGTTATTCATTCAACAGATACTGAGAGTCTAATAGGTTTTCACAGTACCCCTCCCTATGGGATGTATCATTATCAATGCTACCTAGCTACTACATGGAAGGCAGGCAGCAAGGTGATCATTTGGCTTCAAACTCTTTTCACTACAATCTGCTCCCGTCCCAGCATAAAGCATTCAAGAAGCACTAAGTAAATTGTAATGAAAACAGAAAGGCCAATCTTGTTCTATTGTTTTGTTGTCACTCTCTTTCCTGATCACACATTTGTATTCCATTCTCGACCATATTCCTTTCAGTGCATGGGGCATGAGAGTAGGGATGGAGAGAGAATTCCGCAGATGAAGATGGGCAGATGTATCTGAAGGACCCCTGGGACTCTAGCAAGGGAAATGAATAGCAGAGTCTAAGGATGTTATTCAAAAAAGGGGGACTCAGAGTAGTTTTGTTAGCAAAATCGTGGGGCAGAAGCCAGGCATCCTTCCACTCCCCTCTCTCTTTTTTCTTCTCTTTAGCTCTATAGCCTATCTCTCTTTTAACTCTGTTTATATCAATCTGTTTATATTAACTATTTGTCTCTTTAGGTACCTATTTAACTACTTATATCTATCTCTTTCTCTCCTCCATTCCCAGGTTCTGCTGATTCTAGGCAGACATATCTTAAGGTCATAATCAGGAAGAAATTAGCCTTCATGATTACTCCAACTCTAGCCCCAACTTCTGACACTCTGAAGTCTCTTCAGTGGAGGAATAAATTGTCTTCTTAACGAATAGATCTTCTACAATCTTATTTTAATCTTACCTTACTGGTCTTCATATTAGAAGAGCAGAAATGTATTACCAAAAGTCAGGCAATCCCATGACCATATCTACAGGTGGCTGTGCAGTAATTATTCTGTAGATACCACACATAGGGGGAAACCCCTCTGCCAGGCTTGTATTTCAGGCTCTGTGGACACCTCACCTGTTAGGGCTCTCAGAGTTCCTTCAAATAGATAAAATGGGAGAGGGGCTGGCATTGTACACACCACCTCAGGAAATCACTGCAACAAGGTAAGTATTATCTCCATTCCTTTTCAGAGGAGGGAAATGAAGTTCAGAGAAGACAGGTTATTTTGTTTAAGTCCTACATATCATATATATGGCAGAGTTAGGACTGGAAACTGGCTTTATCTGATGCCAAAAACTATGTTCTTTGCAATTCCCTGTCTTGGGTGAGTGAAGTCTGCATTGATGGTTGGTCATTCTTGGATTGGGCCTACGCTTTATTTTATGTGAGTTGGCCACATTGACCAGAACACTGGAGCTCTAGAGAAGTGCTGAGCCTGTGTCTGTCCCTTGCTTGAACTGCCAGGCATGCTAGTGGTCACTGGAGTCTGTGCTGGCTCCAACTCATCCTCAAATAATTGAATTATAATGAACTGATTTATTCTGGCTCTTTCGATAGTATTTCACTATCTAAACTGCAGAAATAAACAAGGGATTTTGGAGCTTGGAAGGGGCTTAATATTCTTCTGCCCCTGAATTCATGGACTCCTTTTTCAGATAGTCAGCATCCTAGAAATCTTGGCCTTATTTCTGCTTGACGTGGGTGCTTTCTGTTATGGGGAAGGCTTCTTGAAGGTGTTTTAGGCGAGTACTGACTTCGCAAGCTGATTCAGTTCAGTTGGTTAGAAATAAAGTTACCCCTTAGAAGATAAAGCCCATTATTATAGAATGGGCAAGGCTTGGTTGGCTTACCTGAAATGCCCAGGATATCTAACAAGCCCTAAAAACCTAGAGAATTAGATAGGAAGTGCTCCTAGCATACCAGTGGTCTAATTTCCTTCTCTATAATAAGTATAATCGAGGCCAGAGAGAAGGAGTCCTGTCTAAAGTAACAGAGCAATTTAGTTACAGAGCTGGAACTGGAACCAGCCTCTCTTGTATATAAATTCACTCTTCATGTGAAACCAAAAACCTCTTGGAGCTGAATAAACCTCATTTTGCGACTGGGGAGTTCCGTGGCATCGAGTAATGTCTCCAGAACCTAGAAAGGGAAAAAATCTGAGTTCGAAACCAGGATCCGGCATTAACACACTATGTGATCTGGAGCATATTATTAACAATGTGTGAGATCTCGTTTCCTGATCTGAAAGACTAAAATGATAACTAAAATAATAATGCCTTCCTCACCAGCTTGCTGTAGGCTCACTTGGGATAATGAAAATGGAAGTGTTTGTGAGTTTCACATGCGTACACGTGTAGTGAAAAACACGTAAGATCAATCCTCTTAAAATGTTAGACGTATAGTACAGTATTATTAACACAGTACATGTCCTTTTGTGACTGGCTTAAGTCATTTGTGATAATGTTCTCCATGTCTGCTCATGTTGTCACATATGGAAGGATTTCCTTCTTTTTTGAAGGCTAAATAATAATCTGTTGTGATGATCAGTGATGGGCTTTAACAGTGCTGATGATACTTCTGGTCCAGTTCCACAACTGCTACTGATGGCTGAGACCAAATGACCAATATATCTCTCTGTTCTTCCCCTTCCGTGTCACTCCTGCAGATGAACCCAGCCGGTGCTATTTCCATGATGGTGATGGGGTATGTGAGGAGTTTGAACAAAAAACAAGCATCAAGGACTGCGGTGTCTACACACCCCAGGGGTTCCTGGATCAGTGGGCATCCAATGCTTCAGTTTCCCATCAAAACCAGCAATGCCCAGGATGGGTCATCATTGGCCAGCCAGCAGCATCCCAGGTAAGACACCAGCCATGGGTGGCATTTCCTGCCGATATTCTGAATCTCTACTCTATCCCTCAGAGCTTTCCACCTCAAAGGTAGTGTCATTGAATGTGGCCATGTGACCATACCTCTAAACAAATGTAATTCCAGAGCCTCACGAGTACTATTTCTCAGGAATTAGATGTGGAATAGCTAAGCACGGGGAAGGAACGTCAGGGTAATGACTGTCCTCCTATGTCCCTACCTGTTATAATTCACATTTAGGAAAGAATTCCATTTTGGACATACCACTGGAATTCAGTGGGGAAGAACACATTCTTTTGGGTGGAGTTCCACAATTTATTTTGTGTGTATGTGTGTGGGAGGATACTCTTTGAACACTCCTGTGAATTTGCTGTGTGGCCTTGGACTAGTCTCCCCACCTCTCTGGCCCCCATATTTTTCCATCTTTAAATTAGAGAGTAGGTCAGCTTGATGATCTCTAAGGACCTTCCCAACTCTAAAAAGCTGTGACTCACTCTCTGGTCCCCTAATGCACTGTTTGCGCTCCAGGGTTCTTCCCCAAAGGACTCTCCGCTCGGTTGAGGGACTAAGAGTGTTGGGGCCAGCAGAGCTTATGTGATTCTAGGGATGGCTGTGCTGTCCCCAGAGCCCCCTTTCCAATTATCCTGCTGAGCAAGCACCTGCCTTCTTCCGAGACTCCCTTTTCCCATAGACACGACTCAGTGCTTCTGACTGCCTGGCCCAGTGGCTGTCTCTGAGGCCAGTCTGCCTCCTGGCCTTGTAGATGAGTCATTATACTGTTTCCCTGATTTAGGGTCAGTGGGAACAGACCTGATTTCTAGGTAAAAGAGAGATGTGATCTTCTCCTGGGGTCCAGTAAAAAAACCATTGGATGAGGTACAAGATGGGTGCATTCACTTATGTATTTTATAGTGTTTATCTGATCATTTCTCATTTACCCATTTGCTTGTGTTTATATTCATTAGATTCCCTATTCATTCCTTTGCATTTATTTATGACTGCCCTGAGGAGAATGTGTGGAGAGAAATGGGAACACAGTATCAAGTATCCCTGATGCTTCTCATGGGCAGTGCCCGTCTGGTGAATGAATGAATGGGTAAATGAATGAATGTCTAGGCCTCATCCTACCCCTGGGCCATCCTGTACTTGAGGAACTCATCTTTGGCTACACCCAATTTCACGAACTCTAATAATCAGTTTGTGTGTCTGGCTCCCTCTTAGGCTGCTGGCACTTTCATAACTGTTTTGAGTTTTATTCATCTCTCTCCCCTCCTTCAAGCACAAGATCCAGATAAGACTAGCTGCTCAGAAAATATGTGTTTAATTGATTATAGATTCACGCACGTGCACACACATATGTGTACACATTGCCACATACAATGAAAAACACTAAGAGACAATGTTCAAGAACCACATCTGTATGTCAGAGAATGTCCTGCTCAGGGTTGTCAGGGCTGGCTGTCAGTAGAGCCAGGAATTCCAGATTCAACACCAGCATCTTTTTCTAGAAGTGTTTCAAAAAAATTCATTCAAACATTATTAACACACACAGACTCTCACAAGAGCAAGAAGTGAGGTAGCAGCTGTGCTTAAAAATCACCCAAAGGTTATCGCTGCAAATGTGAGAAGAGGAGAGAAAGACTTTTCCAGTCTTAGCGCTTGAAAGAGACTTCATGGGGCAATTATTCCACTTTGGTAAGGAAGGGGCTGTCAGGAATTATGGGCAATTATCTCTTCCTAAACAAAAATCCAATTTAAAAAAATCATTATCAATACTACAAAGAGGAGATGAGGAAACAAAATCATCCTATTGAATTATTCATTGCAACCAATTTTATTTTAATGAAATCGACTAGGTTCCATTACTATGGGCTTGGACATAATCTTTGCTACAAGGAGACTTCAGCTGTAACTAAATTTGCCTTAATGAGATCAACTCACTGGAGAATACAGGGTCGAGGAGAGGGTGTGTGTGCAGGCTGGGTACAGGGCCAGGCAGGGCGGCCTCAAGGGCTATTGAACAAAGTCTCCTGAAGCCCCCCCCTCAGAAAGCAGATGCCTAGAAATCATTCACACACTGAGCCCCCATCGTGCACACACACACGTGCACACACACATAGCCTGTGTAGTCCTGAGTAAGGCTGTTTGTGGAATGGAAACTAGCTCCCTTCTGACAGCACAGCAGAGGGGGATGAGGTATAAACATGGCGCTCATTACCTTGTGCAGTGATTAGAGAAGGCTGATAGCTAATTCTCACCCTGTCAGTGACTCCAGTGAAGAAGTTGATGGCTTGAGAAAAGGAGTTGCGAAGTACTTAGATGCACTTTCCCCCTATACAATTAAGCTCTTCTCCTCCTCCTCCTTCCTCTTTCTCTCTCACACACATGCATACATGCACAGACAAAAACACGAAAACATTTCTACAAAAATAGGCATTATAGGGGCAGGATTCCAGAGAGTATGAACAAAAGCAGACACAGGAGAATAGTGGAAGTTAACAGAGGTCTCCTGGTCCACCAGCCACCATACTGGACACTCATACATCTCATAGCTTATCCCCTTGCCATTCCTCAAGCTAAGAAGCATTGCCCAGGTTGGAGAAACAGGCGGAGTGGCTTCCCCAATGGTCCATAGCCCATACATGGAGAATTTAGGATCAGAAGGATGTCATGGAAGGTGATAGGAAAAGCTTAGGAATATGTATGTGATCATGTTCAAAAGTTGCAAGTAACTGGATTCCTGGCAAGTATCTCTGGGAAACAAGCAGAAAGAATCATAGGTGGACAGATCATAGAGTTGCTGTCACTGTGCAGACCCTGTGAGATACGTGAATTCTCTGCTTGACTTATGGGCACTGCCCACAGCTTTGAGTTCAGGCTGCTTCCACTCCCTGTCCCGGGGATCCTATTCCCTAGCCCCGCGGTGCTCACCGGGATGTCCATGAACTTGGGAAGTGATGAAATGTGTATGATTATTTTCATTTTCTCTTTATAAACCAGTTTTGCCCTACTCTGTCTTCCCCTGATGCTATAAAAATGAGAAATACAAGTGTCTATTGAACTCATGTGCCTGATTCTATGTTGGAATCTGTGAAAGAAACAAAAAGAAGGGGGGAGGTGGGAGGGAAAGACCCAACCTCTGGTCTGTCCATGTACAAGACTTGGGCATGAGAATTCTCTGGGGAGAAGCCCTGTCCAAGTAAGTTGGCAGGGTCTCACCTTGACCACTAGAAAGAAGAAACAGTCATTTAGCTATAGGAGTTCAGAAAGTTGATTAAAATTTGATTTTTTATTTTGTATAAGCTCTCCACTTTAACAATTTCTGAACTCTTTCTCTATTCTCCTCATGTAAGATCCCCAAATTTGGTTAGGACTTAGTTACTCCACCCTGAACATTTAGTTTTATATTCAAATGTTACCAGAAGTATCAAAACTTCCTGGTTGTGCAAATTGGGCTGAACATCCTATAATAAGAGACATTCTTGGGATATTTTGGCCATGCACCTTCCTGGCCCAGCTGGAATTCAAGAAGTCCCTGAAACAGAACAAACATGGAAATGAACCCAAAGAATCCAGTCCTCTCTGTTCTGGGAACCTCAGAAATGGATTGATTTAATGGTGCTTTTTGTCTTATTTTGTCTCCTTGTTTCACCAAAGACTTTACACCAAAGGCTGCTCAAATGAGATGTAGCTATTCCTTTATCTTGTCCCCACCCCCAGCATTTCTACTAAAGCCAGTTTCCCCTTCTCCAAGCAGGCACCTCCCTCCTCCCACAGTGGCCTAGGCAAAGTGTGGAAACACTAAGGAATGTGCAGTATTTCCCTGGAATCATGGACCTTCACTCAACCAACCAGTTCACTTGGTTAATACTTTAAGGCTAAGATTTAGGCTAAGCTGATCCAGGGCAGTGGTTTCAGAGTCAAGTTAAAGAAAACATGGGTAAACCTTGATATTGAGAATCATCCGCAGTTGGAAGGAGAGCCTTGTGAGGTAGAGAGGTCCCCACCAGGAGGTTTCCAGCTGAGCTGGTGATGGAGCAGGAGATGCCTGTGTTGGTGACCTAATCATCTCCATTTCCTTTGCAATTGGGTTTCTGACTTCCTATTTATTATATCGGCCCCTTAGTGGGTACATCCCCTGGGTCCTTTGACAATTCACTTTGTTTCTTGGCATGCCTATAATACTTCATGCCTCTGTTAGAATACAAATTGTGATTTGTCGTGTGTAATAGCATTTTTATATTAATTCATTTATTTGCTTGATCAAAAAGAAGTCTATTTGATCCCTGCACTGAGACCTGTGGGCAGGTAGAGAGCATGGGCACTAATGGGTGAAAAAGAAGTCATGCAGATGTGGCTTCTCTCCTTCCTTGGGAACCTGAAATAAATGACTTCTCTGGGAACCTCAGTTTCCTTCTCCAGAAACAGGGAATGATACCCTCTACCTGTTGGAGATTAAGAGAGCAAATCAGCAAAATCGCTTAGCCCTAGTTTTTTCCACTTAGTATGGGTAGTGCCAAGGTTAATTTCCTCTCTCATTCATGTTAGGCTCCCCTAACACCCTTGCCCCAGGGCTGGCCACAGTGACCCACCCAGTACAGCTCAGTCAACACTCGGTTGAGTTCAACACAGTTGTGTTAGCAAATGTTCACTGTAGCCTCAGGACTGTGCCAGGCATTTTGAGAGACTGCAAGGAAGTTCTGGCCCTTTTGCTGCCCTCATAAAGCTCATCGTTTCATCAGAGGGTGTGTCCATCCAAATACCAGCCAAAACCCAGGAGTGTGAGAGTCGGAGGAGTTACCCCAAAGAAACCACACTGTGATCAGCTTACTCAGATTGAGAGCCGGCATGTAGGGATGGGAAAGTCCTGTGTCCACTTTCAGAAGGTCCTGAGCAAATTGTAAAAAGAACATCCAGTTTCTCCAGGCTCTGCATCCATTTTTCTGAATCCTCCTACAAAAAGAGGAATTGCTAGTCACACATGACAGGTT